TATTTGTGGCGCGTGGGTCTAGTTGCTCCACGGCATGTGGGATCTTCCTGGACCAGGGATCGAACATGTGTCCCCTGTGTTGGCAGGCGGATTCTTAACTACTGCACCACCCGGGAAGTCCTAGATTACATTTTTAAAATTTCATCCTTGTGGCCTATTGGTTTTTTAGCTGTGCCTCTGTAAATTTTTCTTTTAAAGTGTTTGTACTAGTCTGCTCAGGTCAACATAGCAAAGTATCATAGACTGGGTGACTTAATAAAAATTTATTTTCTCACGTTTCTGGAGGCTGGAAAGTCCAAGTAATGTTTTTGGTAGGGTTCAGTTTTGTTGGGAGGTCTTACCCTGGGTTGTAGAACCCTGGGTTGTAGACAGCTGCCTTCTAGCTGTGTCCTCACATAGAGAAGAGAGAGACTGCCCACCTTTATGACCTCATTTAACCTTAATTACTTCTTCAAGACCCTATCTCCGTGTACAGTCACAAGGGTGTTAGGGCTTCAGTGTATGAATTTGGGAGGGGACACAATTCATTCTTTAGCAGTGGCTTTAGAGATAATTATGTGCACTTTTAATTTATCAAGTAGAATTAAATTAATATTATAGCAGTTCATGACCAGCTAATGTCCTTGTTGTTCATGTCCTTAGATATGTTATAAAACCCCCCCAGATGTTTTTATTTTATTTGCTTTAATCTGTCAGTAGTCATTTAAATAAACGTAAGAAAAAGCCTTTTATATTTACTCATGTTTATTTTTCATGGGTCTTCTCATTCATTCCTGGGTCCATTTTCTTTTCTTTTTTTTTTTAAACTTAGCTTGCCCTTTAAAAAATTTTTTATTTATTTATTTATTTAATTTATTTATTTTTGGCTGTGTCGGGTCTTAGTTGTGGCATGTGGGATCATCGTTGAGGCCTGTGGGATCTTTTGTTGTGCTGCACGGGCTCTTCGTTGTGGCGCACGGGCTTCTCTCTAGTTGTGGTGTGTGGGTTTTCTCTCTTCTAGTTGTGGCATGTGGGTTCTCTAGTTGAGGTGTGTGAGCTTAGTAGTTGTGGCACGCGGGCTTAGTTGCCCCAAGGCATGTGGGATATTCGTTCCCAGACCAGGGATTAAACCTGCATCTCCTGCGTTAGAAGACAGATTCTTTACCACTGGACTACTAGGGAAGTCCCCTGGATCCATTTTCATACTAGTTCATTTCCTATTAGTCTGAAGAACTTCCTTTAGTATTTTTTTAGAACTTTAAAAAAATGAGATGCAATTATAATTCACCCTTGAAAAGTGTTCAGTTTAGTGATTTTTAATATATTCACCAAATAGTATAGTCATGACCACAGTCATTTTAAGGACGTTTCAGCACTCCAGAAAGAAACCCTGTGTCCTCTACTAGTCACTCCCCATTTTCCTCCAGCCAGTATTCAACCCCACCCACCGATACGCAACCACCAGTCTCACTTTTGTCTCTGGATTTGCCTTTTTTGGGCATTAAATGGGATCATACAGTATGTGGTCTTTTGTGCTTTACTTAGCATAATGTTTTCAAGGTTCATGTTGTAGCATGTATCTGTACATAATTCCTTTTATTACTGAATAATATTCTGTTGTTTAGATATACTACATTTTATTTATCCATTTATTACTTGGTAAACGTTAAGGTTGTTTCTGCTTTTTGACTATTAGAAATAATGTTGCTATGAACGTTTGTGTGCAAGTGTTTGTATTGAATAAGTTGTGGGTGTTCATAAGCTCATTCTTTCCCCACTGAATTTATTGTCTTGGCACCCTTGAATTGAATTCAATTGAAAATCAATTGAGGGACTTCCCTGGTGGTCCATTGGTTAAGACTCCTTGCTCCCAATGCAGGGCGCACAGGTTTGATCCCTGGTCAGGGAACTAGGATCCCAAATGCTGCATGGCACTGCCTAAAAAAAAAAAAAAAGAAAAGAAAAAAAATCAATTGATATAAAAGTGGGCAGGTATTACTGAACCTTGAATTCTGTTCAGTTGATTGGTATGTTTAGCTTTATTCTGATTACTGTAGCTTTGTAGTAAGTTTTGAAATTGGGAAGTATGAGTCCCCATTTGTTTCTATTTTTCAAGATACTTTGAGTTATTTTAGGGTCCCTTGCATTTCTATATGAATTGTACGATCAGCTTGTCAGTTTTTACAAAAACCCCAGGTGGGGCATTGATAGGGATTGTGTTGACTCTGCAGATCACTTTTGGGGAGTATTGCTGTCTCACCTATATTAAGTCTTCTAGTATGAAACTGTGGAATATTTACCCTTTTTTTTTTCTTTTTTTTTTTTAGGTTGGCTTTAATTTTTTTCCAACAGTTGTATAATTTTCTGTGTAAAAGCCTTACAATTTTTTGGTTCAGTTTGTTGTTGTTTTTTTTTACATCTTTATTTGAGTTTAATTGCTTTTACAATGGTGTGTTAGTTTCTGCTTTATAACAAAGTGAATCAGTTATACATATACATATGTTCCCATATTTCTTCCCTCTTGCGTCTCCCTCCCTCCCACCCTCCCTATCCCACCCCTCCAGGTGGTCCCAAAGCACCGAGCTGATCTCCCTGTGCTATGCGGCTGCTTCCCACTAGCTATCTACCGTATGTTAAGTGTTTTATTCTTGTTGATGCTGTTGTAAATAGAGTTGTCTTCTGAATTTCATTTTTGACATTTGTTCCTAGTGTGCAGAATTACAGTTATTTTGCTGTGTGTTGATCTTGGATCCTGCAATCTTGCCAAACTCATTTATTCCAATAGTTTATTTAGTGGATTTCTTAGGATTTTCAGTTCTGTATCCACAGAGTTTAGTATCTCTGGGGAGTTCTGGAACCAGTCTCCCTCAGAACTGGGGGCCAACTGTATACAAGATCATGTAATCTACAAATGGAGATTTTTTAAACTTCTTTTCAATCTGGTTGTCTTTTGTTTCTTTTTATTGCCTGATCACCTTGGCAGATCCTCTAGTATAATTACTGTAAGTAAAAGTGGTGAGAACTAATATCCTTGTCTTGTTTCAGTCTAAGGAAGTAGTATTTTTTATGAAGTATGAATTCTTTCAGATGTCTGAAAATGTCTTTAGCTTTGAAGGCTTCTTTTGGTAGATTTAGAACATTATGTTGACTCTTTAAATGCTTTATGATGGGTGTCATTCATTGTCTTCGGTTTTACAGTGTTTCCAATGAGTAGTTAGTCTGTTCTCATAGTTTTTCCTGTAGTCTCATGTGTCTTTTTTTCTTCCTTGCTTATAAGGTTTTTCTCTGGATCCTTTTTTCAGCTGTCTGGTCTTTATGTACCTAGGTATGATTTTCTTCTCGGTGTTTGCTGAGTTTCTTGGATCTGTGGATTAAAATATTTCATTTTTGGAATATTTTTGTTCAGTTTCTCTTCAAATGTTTCTCCTTTCTTTCTCCTGCCGTTTTGGAGGTGCAACTGCTAGTATGTTAAATCATCTGATGTGTGCCATAGGTCTCTGACACTTCTTTTGCTTTTCCTTTTTCTCTATCCTTCAGTCTAGATGATTTGTAAATTTCAGCTCACCTCAGTTTTAAGGGTAGGATTGAACTCCTTTCAGACAGGGCCTTGGGATCTAAGTGCTGTGAGAATGTAAGTTTCTGATTCAGGCCAAGTTTCTGCATCACTAGAAATTCTGCAAAAGTCCCCTGGAGGATAATTGGTGGGAGCAAGGACTTGTCTTCTCTTTGAGGTCCTCCAGATCTAGTCTGCCCATACTCAGGCATTAATAGTTTGGTTTCTCTGTGTTTCCGCAAAGATTCTTTGCCTATAACAGCTTTTTTCTCTCTTCACTTGTGCTTCAAGCAATGTAAATGCCACTGAGGGTTGAAAGCAATAGCAATCTGTGGTCACTTGGAGAAGGCTGGTCCCTCTCTGGAATTCAGTTCATTTAAACTTACTTGTACCCAGAGGTCTTCAGTGGCTTTAAAGAAAGAATAGGATTTTAAGTTTATCTAGTGTTTTGTCATTGTTATGGCAGAAGTTATGGTCTTTGTGAACTTCTGTATTCTAACTGGAAGTGGAAGTCCTCCACTGAAGAATTTTTGAGTAAGGTCAAGATCTTAAGTCAGTTTTGCAAGGAACAAGTAGCTACAGATCGATTTAATGGTTACTTTTGCATATTTGGGGTAAATGAAAGTTTTACAGATAAAGTGACTTTAACTGGGTTAGTATTTCTAACCTGTCCTCAAGATACATTGGTATATAGTTTATGTGCTTTCAGTGATGAATTGGGAGAAATGAGAAACTAAAAAGTTTGTTTTGTTTTTTGATGAATTATAAACACTTAAGTCGAGACAGGTTATATGTCCTTGCCTTCATCCACCCTATCCTTTTATTTTGGAAGAACTAGTGGTGGATTCTTTACATTGAAAGTGGGTTTTGCAATTTTAAATTTGAAAAATCACCTGGCACCAACATTGGGACTACAATGAAAAACTACTGGCTTGTACATTTTAAAATGGTTAAAATGTTATGTTTTATGTTACATGAATTTTATCTCAATTAAAAAAATCAGTGAACTGTTTGGAAGGCCCTTCCTGATGTTTATTTTAATTTTTAATTGTAATGGGCATTTGTTCGTTTTTATTTGCAGTTGTTGATTAGTGTGTACCTTACTAGAGTCTGATTTTGGATCAGTGCAAGCTGACTTTCAAAATTGAGTTCATTTGAAGAATACCATTAGCAGAAAACATGTTATAACATATCTTGCTTTTTGATTTAGTGATGAGAGTTACTTGTTAAAACTTTACCCTTTAGTTTATATATTTTTCAAGAGAAATTGACAGAATATGTAAAAGTGTGATGTTGATAAACTGTTTTTGCGAACCTTGTTATACAGTGTTTTTTTTTTTATGAATGGCTCTTGAAATCTGATGTGATTTTACTTGGTTTCCAACAGTCTTTTTTTTTTCTTTCCCCTCCTGAGTGTTATTTATGGATAGTTCTGTCCTTTTTAACTCTCCCTCCCCTGTCTCTCCAGTCTTATTGGCAACAATTTTGAAGATGGCTCCCATGTAACATCACCATTAAACCCAAATGAAAACTTCAATGTTGTCATTAAAGAAGAGCCTCTGGACGATTATGAATATGAACTTGGTGAGTGCCCAGAAGGGGTCACTGTGAAACAGGAAGAGACAGATGAGGAAACAGATGTGTACTCAAACAGTGATGATGATCCTATACTAGAGAAACAGTTGAAGAGGCACAATAAAGCTGATAAACTAGAAGCTGACCATCCTTCTTCTAAATGGCTACTACCAAATAGCCCATCAGGTGTTGCTAAAGCTAAAATGTTCAAATTAGACGCTGGAAAGATGCCAGTAGTCTATCTGGAGCCCTGTGCTGTCACCAAAAGCACAGTGAAGATTTCTGAGCTCCCTGATAACATGCTTTCCACATCTCGGAAGGATAGAACTTCTGCGTTGACAGAGTTAGACTATTTGCCTACGTACATTGAAAATTCTAATGAGACTGGCTTCTGCTTAGGCAAGGAATCAGAAAATGGTCTTAGAAGACATTCACCAGATCTCAGAGTGGTACAAAAATATCCCTCACTTAAAGATCCTCAGTGGAAATATCCTGATATATCTGACAGCATTAACACAGAAAAAATACCTGATGGTTCAAAGAGTTCAGTTGGGGACTCATTTTTAGGAAAAGAAGACTTGGGCAGAAAGAAAACTATGCTTAAGATTTCAATGGCCTCCAAGACTGTGAATGCTAATCAGAATGCCCCTCCAAATGTCCCTGGAAAAAGAGGAAGGCCACGAAAACTGAAACTCTCTAAGGCAGGGCGGCCACCTAAAAACACAGGAAAATCTTTAACTTCTACAAAGAACACTCCTACGGGCCCTGGGAGTACCTTTCCAGATGTGAAACCTGATCTGGAAGACGTAGATGGTGTTCTCTTTGTTTCCTTTGAATCGAAGGTAAGATTGTCATTTTCAGCATTCTTTCCAAGGTCAAATAATCGTCATTGAATTGTATACTGGCTGATAACTAACTTAGAATATAGTTACTGTGAATGCATCCATTATGCGAGGTTGTGTGCACCGGGAGGGGAGTATCTCCAAAATATTGGGTTAACAGGCATCACTTAAGGTATTTTGTTTGAATGGACTTAAAAAATTATGTCTGTTTTTTTATTACGATTTTTGTTTTTGTTTTTTTTGTGTGTGTGTGGCCTCTCCCGTTTCGGAGCACAGGCTCCGGACGCGCAGGCTGGGTGGCCATGGCTCACGGGCCCAGCCGCTCCGCGGCATGTGGGATCTTCCCAGACCGGGGCACGAACCCGCGTCCTCTGCATTGGCAGGCAGACTCTCAACCATTGCGCCACCAGGGAAGCCCTTGATTACGATTTTTGCATTGTGTTTAGTTGGAATTTTGAAAATCCTTGGCTCTTAGTGGAGTTTTCATTATTATATTATGACTTTGAAAAGGCATAAATACATGAAAAGTTTACTTAACTCTTTTGGGATACTCCATCCACTGATTTTCATCAGCAATAGCAGAATACCGTTGGAGAACAAAAAATTAAGTCTTATTAATTATGCTGTCACAATGATAGTTTCCCTGTTTATTTTACTCCAGCTCTTCAACTAGACTATTTTTCTTTTAGATTGTTGTAGAAGCCTAATCTTTCTAAATTAGCTACACAGAGGTTGAATTCTCTCTGCCTGTTCTTTTCCTTCCTCCTTGTTAATTGCTGAGTAAGCTGTCTTTACACAGGCTCTAAGAAATCAGTATACAAGATACGATAAATTGGATAAATATACAAGTTATGATAAATACAGTTTTAAGTCAGTTAGCTGTGTATATTATCTTTAATTTTTTTGCCACCCCATTATTAAAGTGAAAAGTATCAAAATGAAAAAACATTTAGAAAATAGCAAAAAGTATCAAAATGAAAAAAAATCTTCCTAGTTCACTTTTAAACCTTTAGAAGTGATATGAACTACTTTTTTTCTTTCCTTTTCTTTTTTTTTTCTTTTTTTTAATATAGGAAGCTCTAGATATTCATGCAGTTGACGGAACAACAGAAGAATCCTCTAGTCTTCAGGCATCAGCCACAAATGACCCAGGTATTATATAATAGTAAAAAAGAGGAAGATACTGGGAGTTTGGCTCTAGAAGTGAAAGATGCAATGTGTATTCTTCTGTAGTATATAGTAGCTTATTTTATCATTGCTTTCTGAATAGGTTGCAGAGCAAGAATTTCCCAGTTGGAAAAGGAATTAATAGAAGATTTGAAGGCCTTGCGGCACAAGCAGGTCATACATCCTGGTCTTCAGGAAGGTATAATTCTCTAAAAAATATACAAGCCAATTTTTAATTTTGTTCTGTTCTCTCCTTCCCCTGTCTTTTCTGCCCTCTTCCCTTTGCTCCTTTCCCTCTTTTTTCTGTTTTTCCTCCTTTCCCCCATCCTTGATTTGATTTCTTTCAGCCCCTCTCTCAGCTTGCATTTTTCTCTGTCCATGATTCTTTCCCTTAACTTAAAAACACATCTAGGTCTTTTTTATCCTAAGAGAAACCTTTCAAACTCTGAAGATACTGTCTTATCGTTGTGAAGCTAATATATTATGCATTAAAAAACGTATCATGATAAGAAAGTGGTGTTTTTTCTTTTCTTTCTTATAACCCCGTTTTATTTACTTTAAATTTTGGTTGCTTTTGTTTCTGTGGGGTTTTTGAAGGTTTTTTGTTTTGCTTTTGGAGGGGAAGAGCCTACTTTTTCTGGTATACTTAGTAATATATTTAACTGTGTAAAGAGAAGAATACTTATCTGTCTCATTGTGTGGCTGTAAAAATTTTATATATTCCGTATTTTGCTGGGGATTTAATTTAAAATTTTCATGATTACCTATTTTGTTGCCATAGTTTATCTTGGCCTTGATCATATCATTTAATCCTTTTTTTTAAAATGGCAAAATTTAGTATCCTTATTGCCATCATAGTTAACTACTGACTTCCCAATTTGCACTGTAAATGAATGACTGTAAGCCATGCCCCAATTTTTATTTTCCTTATACCTTTGATTTTAGGTGTGCTTCTTGGAGTAGTTATTGAGTTTTTGACTGTTAGTCAATTTTCCTGAGAGTCTAAGCATTGTATGCCAACAGACAAAACATTGATTTATAAAACAACCATTCAGTTTCTAAATTAAATGGTAATACTTGAACTTTTGCTTTAATGAGGGACTGTGTGACAGTGTGATCTTAAAGTATGCAAATTTCAATCCAAGTGATAAAGACTGGGTACTGTGGATTGTAATGGAAAATCACAGTCACATCATAGTAGTCTTGCTGGTAATAATGTTTGCTGTCATTTATCGTAAGCTTTCACTTCTGCTATTTTATTTAAATAATATTCTCTTTTCTCTATCAGTTAAGTTGTCCTTTCTCCCCCCACTTCTCCTTTTTTCCCTTAGGTACTCTGATAATATATAAATATTTTAACATTTGTGTTGCATTCTTTCAACCTAATCCCCCATTTATTTTATAGTCTTAGTTCTAGAGTTAAATATATTCAGTGCTCCCTGCTGGTCTTTTTGCTCTGGTTTGTTTGCTTACTTTTTCCTGTTTGGGTAAGGTTTGAGTTTTTTCCTTCCCTTATAGACATTTTAGTCAAATCTGTAATTTTTTCTTTTTGTGTATTGGGTGTTCAAAGTCAAATGCTTATGGAAACTAAGCAGGTAACATAAAGTGAAATTAGCCTGAATTTGGGGATGGTGTTGGACTCTGGTGGGCTGGAGCATAGGTTCCTGTTCTAAAGGGGCAGTCACATCAGTGGATTGTCAAATGGGAATGTAGGCTCAGTATTTTCAGAAATTCCTATTCTGTAAAAGGTAAAGTCAGTATTTTTATGTAACGTGTTTCAGTTTTAAGTGGTGTCAGCTGATACAGTTTTTCGGGCAAAAAAGTGTGTGAGGCATCAGTTTTCACCTGCCATACAGATTATGCATTTGGTGTTCAAGTTTGTATTAATCCTCACATTGTTAAAGTTAATTCAACTACATTCTTTTTTGTTTTGCATGGGCCTCTCACCGTCGTGGCCTCTCACGCTGTGGAGCACAAGCTCCAGATGCACAGGCTCAGCAGCCGTGGCCCACGGGCCCAGGCGCTCCGCGGCATGTGGGATCTTCCCGGACCGGGGCATGACCCGCGTCCGCACAAGCTCCAGATGCACAGGCTCAGCAGCCGTGGCCCACGGGCCCAGGCGCTCCGCGGCATGTGGGATCTTCCCGGACCGGGGCATGAACCCGCGTCCCCTGCATTGGAAGGCGGATTCCCAACCACTGCGCCACCAGGGAAACCCCAACTACATTCTTATATAGTTTTACTTTTTTAAACAGTTAAATCTGTAATCCATGTGTCACTGTTCATAATATATGATGTAGAGTTCTAGTTTGGATTTTTTTCTTTATTTTACTTTGGCAGATGTCTCCCCCATCCCCCAACCTTTGCTTCTTAAGACTTAAAATATTAAAAGAATTAAGTTAGTTTGGCTAAATATTTGTAGTAACTGATGGTTACTACATCAGTTGATGGTGCCAACTCCAAGTATCTGAAGATAATGAAAATATTCTTCCAGGTCCCTTTCTAAAAACTGATGCTTAAAGTAATTTATTAAATTTCAATTCAGTAATGTCGTATTTCTTTGCTTTTCCATCAACTGTAGAGTTTCATTATTCTTTATAAAATAAGCACCTACAAATCCAAAACATTTTTGAGATGAAAAAAGCTTGAAAAACTTGAAAAGCTTTTTCAGCTTGCTTTGAAATTGTGGAAGAAATGTTGATTAAGCTTGAGAAAATGTTCTTATTGTTGTTGTTGATAGTGTTGTTGCTAAAATAAAATAAGATTCTTAATTTTGTTTTCCACAGTATATTTTTTCTCCTATACTTTGCTACATCAAAATTCGTTTCTTTTCTAAGTCCATCAACCTGAAATTATCATGTTTTTGATCTTTAAAGGTATTTTTGTAAAAGCTTTTCTGTTTCATTGCTACCAACTCAATTCTATGTTAATTGTTAAGTGAATTTTTTGCTTTAGATAAGTTTTAGATTTATAGAAAAATTGGGACCATAGTACAGAGAGTTCCCATATACTCAGCATACAGTTTCTCCTGTTATTAACATCTAACATTAGGGCAGTACATTTGTTACAATTAGTGAACTAATATTGATATATTATTATTAACTAAAGTCCTTAGTTTATTCAAATTTCCTTAGTTAATTTTTTTTGTTCCAGGATCTCATCTAGGAAATCACATTACATTTAGTAGTTATGTCTCCTTAGGATCTTGTTGGCTGGGACAGTTTCTCAAGACTGTTTTGTTTTTAATTACCTTGACAATTTTGAGGAGTACTGGTCAGGTATTTTGTAGAATGTCCCTCAGTTGGGATTTGTTTGATGTTTTTCTCATGGTTAGACTGGGATTATATGTTTATAGGAGGAAGACAACAGAGGTAAAGTGCCATTCTCACCTCACCTTATCAAGGGTACATATTATCAACATGATTTGTCACCAACTTTTTATGTTGCACTCTTTGGAAGTCACTGTGTAGCCCACACTTAATGAGTGGGAAGTTATGCTCCACTTTCTTGAGGATGGAGTATCTGCATAAATTACTTGGCATTCTTCTGCAACCAGAGATTTCTCTTTTCTCCCTCATTTTTATCCAATCATTTATTTATATCAGTGTGGACTCCTGTCAGTTTTAATGTTAAATTCCTTTATGATAATATTCCCAGAGCACTCTGCCTCTTTAGTTACTTAAAAAATACTCTGTACTGTTAAATCAATGGTTAGCTGGAGTTTTTCTTATATAAATGTCTACTTTTCTCTTCATTGTTGGCTAGTTGTATAGGTGTTCATTCCTCTGAGTGTATTTTTGTGGATACCTCCTATTTAAGCGGGTTTAGCTAGAGGCAGGCATTTTTGGCTACAGTTTATTGTCTTAGGTGACTCTGCTCTGAACCTAGAGGGTTATCTGTTTTCGTTTCTATTTTTATGGGTCATTTTTTTAATGGTGTGATAATATTTCTTTAAGAAGTTGCTCCTAATATGGTGAGAAGGCAAAAGTATTCAGGAGTATGATTTAGTTTAAACTATCATGTGGAAAGGGTTTTATGCTTTTTAGGGGATGTACTAAGAATTACTTAACTATCTTATTTTTGCAAAATAAAGTTATTATCATTCATATGAAACCGACTGAGTCTGAGTCTCAAATATCTATTACTCAAGGAAGGATTTTCTTGAAGGGCAAACATTTCAAGATGTGCACGTAAGCTAAATTGGGAATTACTTTGAGCAGTGTGCATGTGCCATTGACCTCTCAACTTTCAGGGCTTTAAAAAAATTGTAAGTATATTTAAAATAAATTTGGTCTTTTTGTTGATGTTTTTTGGTTTTTTTCCCCGGTACGCGGGACTCTCACCGGGACTCTCACTGTTGTGGCCTCTCCCGTTGCGGAGCACAGGCTCCGGACGCACAGGCTCAGTGGCCATGGCTCACGGGCCCAGCCGCTCCGCGGCATGTGGGATCCTCCCGGACCGGGGCACGAAACTGTGTCCCCTGCATCGGCAGGCGGACTCTCAACCACTGCGCCACCAGGGAAGCCCTTGTTGATGTTTTTAGGTTCACTTGGTATCACTTTTGGGGGGAAGGTGGCAGTTCAAAGTATAAGTAAATGCAGACAAGAAGATATGTAGGGGAAACAGTCTCTAAATTTGATTGTCTACCTATTTGGCTGTATGGGTACATTTTTAACGACTTAATTCCTTTCTTCTTTCTCTGTAGGCAGCTGTTCTGGCAGTTTTTGTCTATAATAATAATAGAGTACTTTTCTCTTTTCAAGGCACTACAGTATCTCAGTTTATCCTTTGTTTAGGATTCTGTTTCACTTGCATTTCTGCAATATTTTGCTTTCTGGTTTCACTCTGCTCTCCCTCTCTGCCTTTCCTAGTTAATTCCTACTTATTCTAATTTAAGAATTACACTCTCTGTAAAGTTATACCAGATTGCCTTGGGTTTTTCAAGTATCATTTGTTTTACCTCTTACAGTATTTTATCCTATTATAATTACTAATGAATCAGTTGGGAAAACATAACACAAAAGCTCCTTGAGGTCTGGGAAATGTCTTTTATCTCTATCATCATCTATATTACAGAGCATTTCAAAGAGAAGGCACGGTTACTTCTTAAAACATGAAACTCAGTGTGGTGGATTGATGATATTATTTTTTGGATTGGTATTATTTCACTGATGAGGAAGCAGAAGCTAAGAGAAGTTTAGCCCAAAGACAAGATTAGAAACCACTTGTTATGACTCATATTATTTTCTCCCCAGGTGATTGAAACATGAGGAAATAATATTTTATTGATGTTAATTTTAATCACATGTGATTAAAATAAACATGATAAAATGATATTTATTTTAAAGAACTAGAATTACAAACTAATTTATGTGGAGGATATACAAATTAGCCTTAAGAACTTGTGGCTTGTAACCTGCCTAGTGTCTTCATCTTTTAGGAAACCAGTACTATGTAAGCTTTTTATTGGAAACCTGTACCTATGACTTTTAGTAGTTATTACTACGGTAGTTGATGCTTTGAATTCCTTTTGGTTTCAGTTTTGTTAAAATTTAAGTTAAATACTTTCTTGCTCAATAATATGAAGCCAGTAATTCACAAACAAGGAAATCCAAATGAGAAGATTGTCACTGGTAACAGAAAAAATGCAAATTTAAGAACAATAGGATATAGATTTATACCAGTAAGATTGGGACAGTTTTAAAAGTCCAGTGATATAAAATGTTGGAGAGGATGTGGATCAACAAGAACTCTTACACTATTGAAGGGAGTATAAATGGAGAGTAATTTGGCAATCTAGTGAACAGCTTCTCAACTAGAGCGGTGTTGCATGTGGTTATCCATGATTGTGTGACAAGTATGCTCTTGAGACACTGATCTCCTCAGAATGGCCAGGCAAGACCAAAGGAAATTAATAACCGTAGAACTGGTTGCCTCCAGCCATAAGCAGCCTCATGTTTATCCCAGTTTGTTATGTAATCATTGTTTTCTTATATGCCATTACATAAGAAGGATTCAGAATAACTAGGTGTGTCAGTTAGAATTCTTAATCTCAAACATGAGAATGCACTCTATAGGTGAAATAGAATACGAATTTATTAAAGAATATCAGATGACTTACAGAGAGCCAGAGAAAAGGAAAAATGCCCAAATTACATTCCTCAAGAGCTCGTACCAGCAATCTCACAACATTGGGCAATTACAACCATTTTCAATATGGACACTGAACACAGTATACTACAGCTAGGATGTTGGTTACTCTTACCTCTAAAAGTTCTTGGCCAAACACTGTCACTCTCATTAACACAATTCTGCACAGTATTCCTTTCCTCATGGTGCTCTCTTCTAAATTGAAGCCTTTTATGGCTGCATCTGTGTTTTAACACCTCTTCCTTGAAGAGGTGGGGGTTATAATGTGGAAAAGTAATAGCTATAGGAAAGGTTCTCAGAATATTTTGGGCAGCCACATATATGTCAAACACAGTATCCAGTAAATTGAAGATCAGCATATCCCATTACATAGCAATTCCACTCTTGGGTAAATGCCATAAGGAAAAGCTAAATGCACTAGAGAAGCTTTCATACATGTTCATGTGTGTGATGTACATTCTTGTACAAGATGTACAGTTATACTGCAGCATTGTTTGTAATAGTTTAAAATAGGAAACAATTCTCATTAAGAGGAGAATGGTTAATAAATTGGAGTAATTCATAATCTGGAATAGTGTACAACAGTGAAAATAAATCATGCAGAGATAAATGTGTCAACATAGACAAATCTTAGATGTAAAATGTTAACCAAAAAAAAAAAAGATATGTAAAATAAATGTTTTCCCAAAAGATTGCCTCTTAACCTACAAATAAGCCATAGTATTTATAGGCTCCATTAAACATAAATATCAGTAATAATAACTAAAGAATTAGTAGCCTTAATTAGGCCAGAAGCACAGACTACGGCAAGTTTGTATTAGAGGTCCTAGGAAATCTCTCGGCTACAAAGCGTTAAAGTACAAAAGATCTGAATTCTGCTATGTTTATGTATTAGTTATCTATTGTTGCTTAACAAATTACCACAAACTTAGTACCTTAAAACAACACATTTACTGTCTCAAAGTTCTATGGGTCAGGTGTTTGGGCATGGCTTAACTGGGTCCTCTTCTTAGGGTCTCACAAGGCTGCAATCAAGATGTCAGACCTGGTTCCTCATCAAAGGCTTGACTGGGGAGGGATCTGCTTCCAGTTTCCCTCAGATTGTTGGCAGAATTTATATCCTTGTAGCTGTAGCAGGATGGGTGATATACTTACTCTTATATTATCACATACACATAATCATGTATGTACATCCTGCCCCTTTTGCTACATTCCATCAGTTAGAAGCAAATCACAGGCCTCATGCACACTCAAGAAGGGAAGGGGAGGAATATGCAAATATGTAATACCCAGGAGGTGAGGATCATGAGGCCACCTTAAAATCTGTCACTTTCAATTTTTATTTCATCATTTCTGTTCTCCACTTTTTCTTGATCTCTATTATCCCCCTACCTCACCCCACCCCACCCCCCAACCAAAGATTAAAAAAAAAACAAAATGATTTGTGGTCCTTTTTTCTTATAGTTGGCTTAAAATTGAATTCAGTGGATCCAGCAATGAGTATTGATCTTAAATACTTGGGAGTACAGCTGCCTTTGGCTCCAGCCACTAGCTTTCCTTTCTGGAACCTTACAGGAACCAACCCTGCCTCACCTGGTGAGTGCGTAGCGTTTGTAAAGTCAAACAAATTTGTGATAAAAATAAAATGCTACCATTGTTACAGACATATAGGGTACTCTAATGTAGATCTTTTATCTAGTGATGTCTTAATGATGATTTATACATTTTAGATGAAATTTTAGTAGCTAATTAGATATTAAATATTGGCTTGCTAGAATTTTGATCATCTTTTTTACTTTTTCTTTTATAGATGCTGGATTTCCCTTTGTTTCTAGGACAGGGAAGACTAATGACTTCACCAAGATCAAGGGATGGAGGGGAAAGTTTCATAGTGCTTCTGCATCTAGGAATGAGGGTAATCAGCTTTTTAAAAATTTATAAATGCATTCTGAAACATGTGGCCATAGACTTTTGTTAAAAGTAAGCCTTGGTTATTTTTCTATATCTCCTTTCCATGCTTTAAAATATACTGAAAATAATTGTCTTGGCTGTTTTTGTTCATTTTCTGTGTCCCATAGTCCCCATCCTGGGGTTCAGTCACTAACCATAGCAGGCTTAAATAATCCTTGCAGCCTTTTCAAAGTGCACTTCCTTTTGGTTCCTACAGTTATAAAAAGCATAATTCTCAAGCATTATTTCAGAACTGTGTACTTCAGAGCTGTATGGTGATTCCCAAGAGCATTGTAGTACTTCAAAGTAAACTTCTAAATCTAATCTAAAATTTAAATTTTGACTGTATGCTTATTGGTCTCCTTTCTTAGTGCTTTTCCTTTCCCATTACACTTGTTTGCAGTTACACTCTAGACAGATAAATTTACCATTTGTCCAATATAGTTTTTCTCATCTTTGAATCTTCGTAGTGTTATAATAGTGTAATGCTTGTCTTTCTACTAAACTTGCTTTTTCTTGTTCCATAAAAACTAAATTTTATACTCCTCTTTTGGTGCCCTTATCCTCTTCCCTTGTGTTTTGTGTCAGAATCCAGGTATTCCAATCCCTTAAGTAACCTCTTGGTGTTCTGTTGAGGTCAAATTTAAGTATATTTTTTGCGTTTGTTTTTACTTATGTCTCATCTCTATACTAAGGTCATAAGAGGTTGTCGACTCTTAGTGTTAATTATTACTATTGTTAGCACTTTGCAAAATTAATGTTAAATATATGTAATAAGATAATTTTAGATAATGGACTTTAATATAATTAGTATATGACATTCAGTGTCTTTAATTGGCTTTATATTTTATATTTTTCCTTACTTCCGAGGAGGGATAGTTTGGAAGATTTAGTAGCTTATAAATTAATGCTCCTGGCCTTTTTAAAAAAAATTAATTAATTAATTAATTAAATTTTGGCTACATTGGGTCTTCGTTGCTGTGCGTGGGCTTTCTGTAGTTGCAGGGAGCGGGGGCTGCTCTTCGTTCTGATGCGCGGGCTTCTCACTGTGGTGGCTTCTCTTGTTGCAGAGCATGGGGTCTAGGCGTGCGGGCTTCAGTAGCTGTGGCACGTGGGCTCAGTAGTTGTGGCTCGCGGGCTCTAGAGCACAGGCTCAGTGGTTGTGGCGCATGCGCTTAGTTGTTCCGTGATGTGGGATCTTCCCGGAACAGGGATCAAACCCATGTCCCCTGCATTGGCAGGCGGATTCTTAACCACTGCGCCACCAGGGAAGCCCCTGCTCCTGGCCTTTTTAAGTATATTTTTCTATATATATAAAGATCTGTCCTGGATTTAAGTATCTGTGTCTCTTTATTTCTAGGTGGAAATTCAGAAGGTTCATTGAAAAACCGTTCTGCTTTCTGCAGTGATAAGCTGGATGAGTACTTGGAAAATGAAGGCAAGCTGATGGAAACAAGCATGGGTTTCTCTTCTAATGCTCCCACATCTCCTGTGGTATACCAGCTTCCCACCAAGAGTACCAGCTATGTTCGAACACTTGATAGTGTACTGAAGAAGCAATCTACCATTTCCCCTTCTACCTCTTACTCTTTGAAGCCTCATTCTGTACCTTCTGTCTCTCGAAAGGCAAAGTCTCAAAACAAACAGGCACCTTTCAGTGGCCGAACTAAATCATCTTATAAATCCATTTTACCATACCCTGTTTCACCAAAGCAGAAACATAGTCATACTATTCCAGGAGATAAGGTTACCAAGAATTCTTCAACCACCATCTCAGAAAATCGGGTGAATAACTTGGTTGTGCCAACTTTAGATGAAAATACATTTCCAAAGCAGATTAGTTTGCGGCAGGCACACCAACAGCAGCAGCAGCAGCAACAACAGGGAACTCGCCCTCCAGGATTGTCTAAATCTCAAGTGAAGCTAATGGATCTGGAAGACTGTGCACTTTGGGAAGGAAAACCAAGGACCTATATCACTGAAGAGCGAGCAGATGTATCCTTAACAACTCTGCTTACGGCTCAAGTAAGTATCTGTTGTTTTCCAGAAGCATATTAGTCTCGCCTAGAGAGAATTAGGTAGTCAGGAGAAATAGGAATGGGGCTTTTTGGCAGGAGGATGGGGCTTTTAGTTACCTGAGTGACAACTAAGGAAATGTCTTCCACGTTTCTTCTTCTTTATCAACTAGACACCATTTGTAGATTCCTCCTGCCAGCAGAGGGAGACTGTACAATTGTGCTTTTAATTGTCCCTCTCCTGTGTAAAGGCAGCTGGCCATTCTGAACTTTCCTAATTTCATTCTCCAGCATGTGGTCAAGTACATTTACTGATCTTGTTAAAACAGCTTTAAAAACTCTGCTTAGATGGTATTAAATCCCAGAAAAATCCCCCAAATTATAAACCTACAGAGAAAAAGTTTTTGTCTTTCATAAAATTTTATATTAAGAAATTTTCGTTAATTGTTGATTCACCTGTGTTAGCAGCCTCAGTGCATGTGAAATGATACAGCAGCATGTGGGTAATTTTTTTGTCATGAAATTTCTGTACTTTCCATTTTTTAAATTCTGTGACTAAATTCTAGAGCTGAAGATCATCAGATGTTGGGACAAAATACAGATTGTGTCCTTTATAATCAATCATTCCTAAAGACTTTTATGCATGTATTACAATGTTCTCTTTTTATTAATTATCATAGAGCAGGGGTCAGTAAATTATTTATGTAAAGGGGCAGATAGTAAATATTTTAGGCTTTGCAGGCCATACAGTCTCTGTTGCAGTTACTCAGCTCTGTTACTGTAATGCCATAGATGTTATGTAAATCAGTGAACCTGGCTGTGTTCCAATGAAACTTTAGTTAGGATTTGGCCCATGGGCCTTAAGTTTGTCAACCCTTGCTATAGAATATTATGCATGATTTCTATTGAGAATACGTTCATCCTTGTTGATATTTTGGCTCATAATGAATTAAAATATTTACTCTCTTTCTTGTCTGTGCTATGCATTAGAATGGGAGACTGCTTAGAGTTGTTTATATTCATGATTTGTCCTTTGAATCTGCACTAATCTTGTACTGTTAGTACTGAGTGCTCAGAGTTGGAAAAGGCAGACCAGTATATGACTGTAAGTTGTTAGGGGATGATTTAGTAGATTTATAATATTCTACTTTAACTTTAGGCATCTCTCAAAACTAAACCCATCCACACGATCATAAGGAAACGAGCCCCTCCATGCAACAATGACTTCTGTCGATTGGGTTGTGTATGTTCAAGTCTAGCTTTGGAGAAGCGCCAGCCTGCTCACTGCCGCCGACCAGACTGCATGTTTGGCTGCACTTGTTTGAAAAGAAAAGTTGTACTTGTTAAAGGGGGATCCAAAACTAAGCATTTCCAGAGGAAGACTGCTCATCGTGATCCAGTATTTTACGATAATTTGGGCGAGGAGCAAAGAGAAGAAGGAGAAGAGGGAGTCAGGGAGGAGGAAGAACAATTGAAAGAGAAAAAGAAGAGAAAGAAGCTAGAATACAGTGAGTATTGATTGAGAGTTAAAATAGTATGGTTTTTTTTAAAGAAAAGTATGGTTATTTCAGAACTTACCTGGTGGCTCAGTGGTTAAGACTCTGCTCCCAAGGCAGGGGACACGGGTTCAATCTCTGGTTGAGGAACTAAGATCCCTCACGCCACACGGTGTGGCCGAAAAAAAAAAAGAGAAAAGAGGAAAAGTATGGTTATTTGAAAACGTATTTCAAATATTACTTACTTTAATCCTAATCAGTGATCTCATAAGAATTTATTATTATCCTTAAAATGCTCTTTCTATATGGCACGTGCGACATACACAAAACTGTGCACGCATGCCTTTTTTTAAATTGAAATTTTCTCTTGAAGATAGCTTTTTTGTGCTAAATTTGAATCATTATTTGGATTTTCAGAATGCCTTTGAGGCTTCATCTTTTTTTCCGTGTCTTGCCCCCACTCCCTCACTTCACGTCCCCATGTTCTTTGAATATACAGATGATCATGGTAATCCATCATTTTCTTTTTTTCCCCCAAGCTGAATTTAGGTATAATTGACAAATTGCACATACTTAAAGTGTACAACATTATGGCTTGGCATATGTATACTTTGTGAAATAATTACCACAATCAAGTCAGCCAGCACACGTCATTTTATTTTCTAAAGGAAGAAGTTTACAGAAAGACCTTCTGGTCATGGTTTGAGCCACTCATCAGTTGGTTGGAGATTTGGGGACAGAATAAGGGCATAACTGAGCTGAGCATTACGTGCTCTTTTGAAAAGCTTATTTTTCCTTTTTGGTATAATGTTATGTAGATTCAAGTTACATATTTCATTTTTGACTTTTTTTCCTTCCTATTATATGTTTTTATTTTGTTTAAATAGACTGACTATAATTTTACCGTGTAATTGAAGAGTTCCTTGCTTCTTAGTTTATTAGAGGATTAATATTCCATTTTTGGCAGTTTATATTTACATTTGTTAATTGCTTGCCATGTACTTACTTCAGTTAGATTCGATAATTAATATTTTTACGTATATTCTTCCAAGATTTTTTATTAATCCACTTGTGTGCATATGTATATATTTTTATAGAAATGGAACTACTGTGTATGTGGTAACTTATAGAAATTTCATATCATAAAGTCACGTTCTGCTTTCCATATTAACAAGTGCAGCTCTATATTACAGTTTTAGTTTTAATACCTTCATATTATTACAGTCCTTTTGGCTGGACATTTAACCTTTATGGGTTTTCAAACAGTACGGTGATGAACATCCATGTTCAGTATAGGCTATTAAAAGTGGAATTGCTGTGACAATGAGTGCTTTTTAAACATTTATAAATGTTGCTAGAATTATACCAACTACACAGTTACCAGTAGTTGGATAGTGCCACTTCTATATTCTTTTTTTTTTTTTTTTTTTTTTTTTTTTAATTTCTGGCTGTGTTGGGTCATCTTTGCTACGCGCGGCTGTCTTCTAGTTGTAGTGAGCGGGGGCTACTCTTTGTTGCAGTGCGTGGGTTTCTCATTGCGGCAGCTTCTCTTGTTGCGGAGCACGGGCTCTAGAGCATGTGGGTTTTAGTAGATGTGCCTGGGCTCAGTAATTGTGGCTCGTGGGCTCTAGAGTGCAGGTTCAGTAGTTGTGGTGTACGGGCTTAGTTGCTCCGTGGCATGTGGGATCTTCCCAGACCAGGGCTCAAACCCGTGTCCCCTGCATTGGCAGGCAGATTCTTAACCACTGTGCCACCAGGGAAGCCCACTTGTATATTCTTAACATTGGATATTCAAACTAATAGGCAGAAATTGATGTCTTGTCTTAAATTTATATTTCTTCAGTGATAGGTTTATTGACCATTTGTCATAAACTTTGTTCTATAAATTGCTTTTTAAAATTCTTTGCTAACTTTTATTGGAGTGGCTTTGTTTTTTTCCTCATATATTTCCAAGAGTTTTATTTTTTTCCAGGTTGTAATTTATATTTTAATTTTGTTCAAAGGTCTTCCCACCTCCCCTGACAAAGGAAAATCAGAGATGGTTAAATCTGGCGGTCTCTTCTTTTTAAGGTTTTGGTTCTTTAGAAAGTCTTTCTCTATCCTCAACATTTAAAAATATTTAGATTAATAAATGGGCTTAAAAAATTAAATTGTTAATATATCTGGAATTTATTTGATGTGAGATTTGTCATAGGGCTTCGTTTTCCCCCCAAATGGCTAGCTAGTTGTACCATCACTTGTTGAGAATAAATACTTTCCC